CTTTCGCCCGGAATTACCTCGTTCCCAAGCACTACAACTTACCTATATTATCTTCTACTATTTCATTAGTGCCACGCGGTCCACATACTCTCATCAGAGTATGGCATACTTATCTGGTCAGAACACTCAACCGCAGCAATATCATATTCAGCGCTCAACAAGCAAATGAATATTCATTATACGTTAGAAAATTAACCCATATACTAATACGCGCTGCCATACCTATTGCACAAGTCCTTTTTCCAGTGTGTTTTTTAACCAGTCGTACGATATCTGCTTTTTGTTGTGGAGAACAGCGACAACAGACGACTGCTGGACAATGACAAGCGAGTTCCATGAACTCTTGCTCATAATGCGTAAAACAAGCCTAAAAACGAAACGTATTATTCAACAGATTTATCTAATTCAGTTTGTGAGTTACTCATGCCCTGACTTAGATCAGCCCAATTGTTTTAGGGTTAGATTTGTGAGTTAGCCATGCGCCAACTTAAATTGATCAGCCCAGAGGTTGTTTCAGGCCTAGATTTAGTGAGTTTAGGAGTTTAAGGAGTTTAATTTTGTACCTCAACAGAATCTCCTTTAATGACCAAAGCGCAATCATTCTTACGTCGAAAGGAATTTAATTCTAAATGAACATCGCTACGAGAAGTAACCTGAAAGAAAACAAAATGATATACATAAATCAAAAGCAAGAAATTATAAGGTTTGGGAGGGTGGGGAAAAAAGGTGTGGCTGCGTTCTACAATGCAATGGCACCGTGTGTCAACCACCTCTACAAATGCTGGGCAGTGTGCTGTTGGCATCATTACTAAAGTAGAATCAAGTGTTGCGCACAATAAATTATATCGCGTGATAACGTTTGCAATGTTGCTGGAAATCGAGTTTTCCTTTCGGGGGAGGGGAGGGGAGGGGAAATGAGGTGCCTATATAGTATAAGATAATCTCTTATTTTAAGGCTTACAAAAACAAGAAAATTGCACCCTTTGTCTACCTCTCAGCAACTGTTGAGTGCAAATGCGTTGTAGAAGTAGAATAGAAGTGTACTTCGGTAAAGTTACTGGTGATGTTGTCATGTTGTTACCCAATGAAAAGTGGCTTTTACAGTACCACTAACCAGAATGGTGGTAGTATTCCTTTAATTCTTAGTTTCTTCGCAGGAAACTTTGCTGCATGCTACGACTCTCAAACACTCTGTCGCACGCAATATTGCGCACAATACAGGTGTAGCGTGTAAGCCTTAAAATAAGATATTTTGTCAAAAATCAGATCCCAAGCACTGGATACATACTTGCTTGAAAGTGTAGATACTTTGGTTGCGAGAGACGAGACGAGAGCYCTGGGCGATACACGTGGCTGTCTCTAACTTATCGCCTGTCAACATCCAAATCTAAAGAAATATCACCAAGAAACATATCAATTTTTTTGTGAATTCGCCAGAATTTTAGCGGGAAACAGACGCGTTTATTGACACCTGTTTTCATAATAAACCAAGAAAAGTGAGTGTTCGTATTTTTATTTATATTAAACAAAAATAATACAGACTCAAAGATTTAAAAATTAAATTCCAGAAACCAAAATTACGGATGTCTGGAATATCAGCTATTTATCCGGGTTACGTAAATATGAAAATAAATGTATAAAAAAATGCGCCTGTTGTCTCGGACGAAGATTAGTAAAGAAAAGGTTTACTGATATTTAAAAGTGACTCATCCTGATTCCTGCATTTATGCAAGGGTTAAAAATTAAATTCCAGAAGCCAAAATTACAGATGTCTGGAATATCAGCTATTTATCCGGGTTGCTTAAATATGAAAATAAATGTATGCGTAATGCGCTGTTGTCTCTGATAAAGATTATTAAAAGAAAAACAAGGTTTCCCGAGATGAAAAAGTAACTCACCCTGATTCCTGCATTTCGTAATAACTCTAAAGTTGGACGAACATCAGTCTGAAATAGATGAGAGAAGAAATGTCAGAAAGTCATTTCCGTCAATCAGCAGGCGATACAGGGCACCTCGTTATAATCAGAAGTTCATCTGGGCCTTGTGTTCTCTATTGCGCTCTTCTTTTACCCCGGTTATACGGGGTAGAGAGAAGCGCAAAGCCGGTCCACCAAAAACTCACCTGTAATTTGTCCTCGACGCCTGTGAGGCAAAGCAGTTCTAAGTCATGTTCAAGAGTCTCTTGTACTGCAGCAACCTGATGAGAAAAATCATGCGCAATGAATATTTTGGTCCAGGCTATAGAGAGCTTTTAAGTGTGACGTCACTCGTATGAAAAAATTACTTCCGGGTCTAAAACGAGAAAACACCTAGCACCTGTGGACTGATCAAAGGCAGGGCACTACTAACTTAAAGATCGAATTGGAATTTAAATGTTTAGGTTTCAGTCGCGGTTTGGGAATACCTGACCGCCTTGAGAACAACCCAAGGATCAAGGCAGAGGATAAACAAACTCTGCTATTATAGGATTCTAAGTCCAGAAATCGAACCCGAGACTCGAGACTCGAGACCCGAGACTCGAGACCCGAGACTCGAGACCCGAGACCCGAGACCCTAGAGGTTAGAGGCGGAGTGTACTTCCGCCACGCCACCCTTGATTCCCAAAAACACCAGACCAAATAGGCCCTCAGTAGTAAAGTGCTGATTAATTCACTGAGAGCAAACGAATGAACATCTTGATTCCCGTGGGTGAAATTTACTGGACTGCAAACAAAATTTCTACAACCTGTTTCGAGAGATCGTAATAAAAGTGCATTTCGTGACACACTGGTTACACATCATTTCATTCAGTTCTTTACAAGTAGCTAAAAAGAATCACAATTTAAATGAAAACAAAAATCTTGCAGTCCAGTACAGACTCTAAATCCTTAACTGAGGGTCAAAACAGTTGAAAATATTACCATCAGAAAAGATTTCAATCCTCAATTCTTTTGTTTGGACTTCCAGATTGGGAATAATTGACGTCACATGCAAGGGGTCAATAACATGAACACTTTTCACTATACTCACTTTGGCAGCCCTGTCAGCGATATTTAACTTGGCCTGAGAGTATCGATGCTGAAATAAAACGTATAAGAAATCAGTAAAAGTAACGATAAGACGACCACAAGTTTATAAAATAACTGTTATGAATCTCGCGTTCTGATTGCATGGGAGCGCCAACTTTATGAGGGCACACAGCACACAGCACACAGCACACAGCACGCACGCGCACTTTCTATTTTACCAATCGTATCCAAAATAGGAGTTACGGTTATAACGGTTATACAAAAAAACCTGAATCTTGCTCACTGTTCTTTGTGTAGTTATAAAGTACTTGGGGATAAGCAGAACACTCAGCAAGTGTTGAGAAGAATTCTGCTACGCGTCTTGTTTCTCTTAACACTTCTTTCGTGTTCTGCCATTCCTCGCGTGCTTCATAACTATACAAAGCACGCGCGCGCGTTTTCAGTTTTTTCAATATAGCACTGCTGTATAGTTACCTCAAAATCCTGGTACTGTTCTTCGGTTAATATTTTCTTGGCGACGACAAGAGTACGAAGACCTTCACGACCCATGTTACCACACTAAAAGTAACAGAATATTATGGAGAATAAACAAAACTGTAAACTAGAAAAGAATTCCGCGTACAACGAAATCCTAAAATTTATAAAATAGTCATATAAGGAGGGCGCGCCTTCAGATGTTCCAAGAATATCTACAAGTTTTCTTTCCTTCTCTCTATTGCGTATATTTTTCTTTTTAATTGGCTTATCTTTTATCAAGAACAATTTTAAGGAAAAAATGCAAGTTCAATTTCTTTCATTAAAAATATTCATTTTTAAATTTTTCTTCCCATTTTCCATCCGTTCGTTCGCAATTATACTCTTCAATTGTTTTTGGCATTGCCTGTCATTTATGCACTCTCTCTCTGTTTCCATATTTTACTATTCCTATACTTCATTCCTATTTATTCAGCTGTCATTTATGCACTCTCTCTCCCTTGTTCCCATATTTCATTATTCCTATACTTCATTCCTATTTATTCACCTGTCATTTATGCACTCTCTCTCTCTGTTCCCATATTTCACTATTCCTATACTTCATTCTTATATATTTATTTTTCCTTTACCTCTTCCTCCAGCCAGTCATTGTACTGCACAATGTTATTCATCACGACGTCTGCTCCCTTCATGTAGAAAGTTATTTCCCCAGTAGATTGTTCCTAAAGAAAGAATTATCTATCAGTTATCTATCAGATCTATTTCTAAATTCTTCAAGAGATATAAAAATACTCGTCAAAATACTGGAATACTTTCAGGTTCAGTACAGATTCTACAACTGACTATCTTTATTTGCCAAATTAGTCGAACATGTATTTATCAAATGCTAAAAAAATACCTTAGTATTAGTAATATTAGTGGTAGAAGTATTGTAACAAAAGGATTCACATAAACCGGTGAAAGCCAAAGAAAACAATAATGAGCGTGCAAAGGCACTTGGGATACTGGTGAATCCTCCTCTGGCTCTCGACTATGTAGATCTAGGTTTGCTTGACACATTCACAAATGACTTTACCTTGACTATAATCCCCATCCTCTTCGTTTCTGAAGTGAAAGGAAAGATTTGAAGAATGTTGTACACCAAAATCTCTCCCGTGGGGGTCCTGATGCGCATGGTAGATAGATCACGATGAACCAACGTTAGGCCAACCTCTTCTGACCATGTAACCAAGGCAACCTAAAAGATTAGTCTCATAAGTATTCTGATGTGCCATATCTCGGGCGCGATGTCATTAGTTCAATCATGCGGTTTTCGTATTAGTGAGAAACGTACTGCACGCCATGCCGAGCCGCGCTCCGAGGATTTATCAATATATATGAATATAACAAAATTGACACTGAGAAAGCTGGGAAACAATCGAGATGGGAGAAATGAAGGGAAATGAGATGGAAAAGAAATGTAATATTTCTAACCTCGTCAGGACTTGATGCCTGATATGTTATTTCGCTTTTTCTTCTCGGGATGCGTTCAGAATCTGGAGCACTAAAGATCTGTAATTCACTATCCTCACTTGCTGCCGAGTTTACTCGCGGTTTTTTGCGATCACCATTATCGGCGACTGGAGTAACATTATGGCATAACACAATCGCTTTTAATGCCTCTTGAACACGTGACACAATCGTGCGACGAACCTAAAAACAATGGGGAGAATTAGTGAGCTCCGAAAAATATATAGGCGTTCCAGTGTTACTCAAGTATTCGTGCTTGACTACTTCGTCGATAGGGCGGCCATCTTGCCAGGGGGCAAGACAAAACAAATATAACGGTAAATATATAGCGTTTCGAGTGTTTGTCTTTCTCTTATAAGTAAAAGTGATCGATGTGCCATTTAAATTCCACTTTTGTTATATGATCTTGTGGTGTACTGTAACAAAGCTTCATTTTCGCCCCCTGGAAGCCCAATAATGCCTTGTGATCCAAGATGACCACCGTATCGTCAAAGTAGTCCATTTAGGCCCCGCTAACGTCAAGGTAAAGCCCAAGTGCTAGTTTTGGAGCTCCTGGAATGTTACCCAAGGATCTATCTTTATATGAGTCATGGCAATCTTAGTGCTATGGTTAATACCTTTCTTTAGGTGTTTTATTGTCGTCATCGCATAATGACGTTTGCCCTAACAACATCACAATTGTCGGAGCATTAGACCACTTGGAAGCACGTCAGAATGCAGCTCATTTTGGAGGATATAACAATAACTTTCCAGTTCTCAAGAGATTGAAATTCTTTTGTTTTGTTCTCCAAATTGAGCTCCTTTGACGACACATGCAAGGGGTCTATTTGGAGGACAGCTTTCCAGTTCTCAAGAGATTGAAATTCTTTTGTTTTGTTCCCCAAATTGAGCTCCTTTGACGTCACATACAAAGGGTCTATTTGGAGGACATAACCATAGCTTTCCAGTTCTCAAGAGATTGAAATTCTTTTGTTTTGTTCCCCAAATTGAGCTCCTTTGACGGCACATGCAAGGGGTCTATTTGGAGGACATAACAATAGCTTTCCAGTTCGCAAGAGATTGAAATCCCTTTCTTTTGTCCTTCAAATTGAGCTCCATTGACGTCACATGCAAGGGATCTATACAATGTTTGTTTCTGAAAGTGGAACGGCTACCTTGGAGACACTAGCAGCTGCTTTTTTTGCTGCTCCTTGAGAGTAGGCGTTCTGTAAATGCACTTTGACCTGTTGAATAGATTGAATTTTAGACACTGATATGTTAGAAAATGTATCAATCATGCATGCTCGGAATTTCGATGGGGAATTTGGTAAACGGCCATCAAAATATTAAAGGTTAATTTTTAACACCGATTGTCAACACCGCACGCTACAAGCAAAAGTGTTAGCCTTCAGTATTTTTGGATTATGTAAGGACGGGACGTTGCTACAAATAGAAACGCACCATTGGATAGTTAAATCCCCGTCATATGCATCTTGTGGCTAAATGTAGTCTGCACTTCAACTCGTTCACCCTGGTTGCCATCGCTTCCTATGAACCACCATAACTCCCGTCAAGGGCGGATCCAGGAGGGGGGGGGGGGGCAAAGGG